CCCCCCCTGGGTACGCCACTGCCTGTGGGGCTAGATAAGAGGATAGTTGAGGCGAAAGGTTTCTTCGCCTCTGGGACAACGTTTCATCACAAAAAAAAAAATCCGATACTCATTTGTCCTCAGAAATCCCGGAGCGCTTCCTGAAACATTGCCTGCCTACCTTTCGTTGAACGCTGTACTGACTCTGGGCTGGAGACTAAGGCCTGCCCCGGCATAATTTTCGAATTCGTTGAGTACATTGAGGAGGATCGCCCCTTCAGAAAGAGAGCGGCCAGAGATCGACGAGTTCCCTTATATTCGAAGGTTTTCATCGAATGTGTAGGCAGTGGAATCAGGAGCATCCTGGCTGCGTGAGATGCATCGGAATGAGCTCTGACTGAGAAGTTTCAGGAGATATAGAATCCGCTCGGAAAGCGGAAGGCCGTGAGCTAGCTCAGACTCAATGCGCCGTGGAGGAGCTCGAGTTTCCGATCACAGATCAGGGGCCAACATATCATGCCCTTGGCGAGATCAGCTCGCTCCCTGACCTGCCAGACATCGCGCTCACAGAAGGCAAAACGTTTGACCTCTGATGATCCACTTGGTGATCAGCAGAGCGGCGGGGAATCAGAGATCGGAAACTACTAGACTGCCCACCATAGAATCGTCAAAGCCGATTCTTATTAAAAAGATCGTGGTAGGGATGACCCTGCTTTGAGGGAACTATCCCGTGAGCGACTAAGGCACCTGAGAAGCGATGCTTGTAACCCTCTAGAGGGGAACACGGAATATCTATCCGATCGAGCTCAAGTCGATAGTGATCCACACGTCATGGAAAAATGCATCAGGCGTGCATGTGCCGTAACTTCGTCGAAGCATCGGAATCGCTCACGAGAAGCAATCTTATGCGCGTATTATTGGAGCAGTTTTCCCTGGTGGCCGCGCGAATAACGATCATTTCCCCCGGAGTCTCAACCGCAGTTCTCCGCGAGCTACGCGGCGCTCTAATCTAATATGATGGAAAATCTATCCGACGCGGGATGGAGTTTCTGCATTCAACCTACATAAGTCCGCTCTCCCGTGATTTCGACGAAGTTGAAGTTACCTGCAAGAGATTCCCTTCCGATTTTTTTGGAAAAATTATTAGGTGGCTCGTGCAAAAAGAGAGCTAAAGACTTTACAAAACATTTGAGCTCCGAGAATCCGCAACTGGGCCAAGAAATCACGCAAAATTGTCCAGCGTCAACCATGAGCGAGTTTCTGGTTTCAGTTGCGAATTATTAGACGACGATTGCATCTCATATCGGATGGCTAGTTCTCGAATTCCTTTTTCGTTCCTCTTTTTCACCTATACATACAACGCTGGGATTCTCTCGCTTGACGAGCGTATTCTCGCCAAAGGAGCCCGGGAATCGGCACTCCTATCTCATACGTGGATTCAGCTTAAGATTCAAGAGAGCCGATCCCCTAAGTGACAGGCACTCTCTTAATGTGTTATCCCGCTGTGACCAGCGCTATTTATGAGAGGGAACGCAAGAGTGAGCCTTCGCTGGCAAGCAGGCAAAAGAAGTCAAGTCAGGAGCTTGAAGTGAGAGGGCGTGAGCGAATAGTGGCACAACGCCGGCGTTGAGAGTAATCCCGGATCAAGAAGGCCCTGCTGAGCTAGGAGACACTTTCGGCTGGGAGAAGTCAGGATGTAGTCGTCGCCACGACCATCATCGCCACCGTCGCCGCCGTCGTCCCGGCCATCATTGAAATCATCAACACTAACCCAGTGGTGTGAGGTGTGAGACACACCGTCGACCCGAGACGATGTCGAGGCTCGGGACGCGCGGTGCGACACTGCGTTTCTACCTCGCGCCGAGGAGCGCATCTCGGCGCTCCCTAAGTCATGCGTTCGAATATCCATTTCGGTGGGATAATTATTATTCCTGTGGTAGATCCTTCTCGTCACAGCGAATTCTGGACGTCTGAGGAAAACTAGGCCTCGGCGTCCTTCTCCTACGAGAGAGGAGGGAATGAATGAATGATCATTCCAATGTTTGCCTTCCCGCTCCCTCTGACCGTCTGTTCGGGGAGGAAGGCGGCTGGTCGAGATATAGATGTCACGTCGTGCATATGTGATTTGATAGCAGGCCACTGATAACGGCATTTCCTCATTAGGTATTCCATCAGGAACACCTATCAGAGCTGGCGAGATAAGCCTGCACAATGGGGGATTTGCTAAAAGTATTCAAAGGATAACTTCGGGTCAGCCGGTCGTTCTGAGGCTCTCTCACACAGTCTATTATATCCTCGGTGCGACCCGATCTCCAGTACCCAGGCAGGTTTCTGTTGCGTCAGAGTCTCTCCCCAATGAAGGCAGCCATCGTATTCGGATGAATTCGTCGAACGGCTCTAATAATATACGCTTATTCCAAAATCGCAACATTTCTTCATCGTTCGGAGTCGTCACAGTCCTCCTTTGGGTGGGCTCTCTTCCCATTTCGATTGGGCTGTCCCAATCGAAGATGATCGTTTGCGTCCACCCAACCCTCTTCATCGGCGGGTACCGTGCCCCTGTCGGAGGCCTGTATGAGAAGGCGTCCATCTTGAGTCGGGAGAGCCTTTCGCTTCCCAAAAATCGATAATTTGAAGCGTATGAATCTCCTCATTATATTTTGCAGGTTCTCCCTCCGGTGGACAAATCCAGCTGTGGCAATTCCTCCTCGAACTGTTATCCAACTCAGCGGACAACCACTGTATAGCCTGGGAAGGTCAGAACGGAGAGTTCAAACTTGTCGATCCAGATGAAGTGGCCAGACGCTGGGGAGAGAGGAAATCAAAGCCAAACATGAACTATGATAAATTGTCTAGGGCACTGAGGTGATTTGGCTTTCCGATTGGAACCCCTTGAGCTTTTGCTGGTTTCTGCGGAAAAAAATACACATTCGTGTCTTTCGATCAGGGATCGGGGTTTTCTTTTTCAGATATTATTATGACAAAAACATAATGTCCAAGGTTCACGGGAAACGTTACGCGTATAAGTTTGATTTCCAAGGATTATCAGCCGCCCAGCAGCAGCAACAGTCCCATTCGCTGCCGGCAGCTCCTGCAGACTACAGGATGCAGCAGGAGTTGTTCCTCGCTGCACCTCAGGTCTATCCGGGCTCGCGGAAAGTCTCGCCCATGGATTTCTCCTCAGGTGAGTCACGCATTGAACGATTGCTGGCTCTGATTCTCTTTGAAACATCTAGCTCCGGAATCTTCTTCCCCGCTGTTGGCGAGGAATCTCTCATCAGCCAAGATTCGGGATCGTTCCTCCACTGAATTGGGAATCAGAGCCCATTTACCAAGGCCGAGCTCGGGACGGGATATTCCGTGTTTATGTCGAAAGAATGCTGTGATTATCCAAGCTGATTGGAGCTCCTTGTCTCGGTTTTCAGGCAGTTATTGGAGCAGTTCTGGCAATCCTTGTCCGCAATACAGGAACTCAGGATCTATGCAATACTCATGCGGAATGTGAAATCCCCCCTACCCATCGGAAGTCCCATCCGTCATCGATTCGCCTTCCGTGGTCAACCCGAGACGCTGACCGTCATCATTCCGTCGTCCCTTGAATCTACATGTTCCGTGTTTAATTCCACCACGGAAGCAACGGCTTTTTCACGCACAGTATGACTACTGAGTGGTTTGATGTATGTAAATAAAGATCATGCGACAAACTCTCGTGGAGGCAATTCAGGCATTCATCGCACTAGAGTCGCCTCCACTCCTCCTGGGGAATCGAAAAACAATTGCGAAGCTTTGAGCTTCGAGATGGCGCATCGGGGCTCTCGTCTTTTTACAGGAACCGACGCGACAATTTCCAACGCTCCCTCCTAGACGAGAATGTCGCTCAGGAAACTTGAGGAACACAGACTTTCTCCCTTGTCCAGAACTTGACCTCCTCTATCAACTCCCAATCGTTCTCATAACGTTTCCGGGATCTCCCCGCACTGCGAATCGAATTCGGACGTAAGACTCGAAGCTCCCTCTACCTTCAGCGAAGGTTCGCGGATCGATGATGGGTGGAGGATGACGTAGGAATCATTCACGAGGCTTGGGATCGGGCGATTCCCCCCTCAACGATTTTTCAGATGAGGATTTCTCGCTGCCTGACTCGAGTGATCTGCCCGCGATGCTCGAGCACACAGGATCCTGTGGCCATAGGGAGCATCAGGTGATTTTAAGCCAAATAGCAACCATGAGGCAAAGATCAGCCAGAAGCTCCCTCGTGAAATCTGGATTTATTCTGATCGGGACACTGAGCGGCAAAAAAAAAGAACTAGAAACCCGCTCGAAATCCGATTATTCCCAGTCAAGCAGAGCAGCTGTCATACATTCCTTTAACTTTGGAAATCTACCAATCTCTCAACTCATATATTACTCAGCTACATTAACGGTGATCGTTTTTCCTTTCGGGTCATCGAAACGGTCGTTCGTTTTCACGTCGAGCAGGAATATCACGGCACCGAACAGGAGGAAAATATAAAATAGAGCCACTGAGGTACCCATCCAGAGAGCGGGGGTGAACCACGTGGCGCAATCATATGAATCAGGGAAGATCCCCGTTGGTTTTCCGTCTTTGTCTTTGACGCTCCTGGGATACACTTGGAATTTCTTCAGTGTTATCTGGAAACGAGCAGGGGAAACTTTCAGACTCGGCAACAATTTCTTGAATGTCGTTGATAATGATTGGTACTCACGATGGGTCCCTTCTTCCTAGGCTTGGGAGCGAGTACGAGCGAACCACACGAATAAGAGAAGTCCATAGGTGCCCAAGTCGTGTCAGAATCGACTCGATATGCTTTGTTGTCGACATTCAGAGAGTAGCCGTCTTTGTTCGCATCCACAGAGACACTGAGCTTGATTGCAGTCGCCTCCCCCTCGATGGTGACGATCGTGTCGTTTTCATTGCAGATGATCGAACACTTTCCCTCGGTTTCTTTCTCGGCCTGAAATTTTCGTTCCATTGAGGAAAACCATCGACTGTCATCATCCACCCGCTCAAGGAAACAAAGCAATCGGAGCGATCAGGACCCAACGCTCACTTTTATCTTGATGGCTCCAACGTAGGCCATACAGATTGCATCGTTGTCGGTTCTGCATGCGAAAGTGTCGGACTCAGCTTGACGGCGACTGCGATGAGAGCCTGGAATTGGAATTAGCGAGTTCAGATGATTGTATTGTTTGACGAATCTCCCGGAACGATAGAAGTGATCCTCGGAGCCCGAGCCGGGGCACAGTGAGCTGCGGAGGGTGGGTTCACCTGAGCCAACGAGAACAGCCGCGAAGCCTGGATTCGCCTTCATAGCTTTCTCGATTTCTTCTTGTTGTTCATCCACATCCCCGTCAGACAGTCGCACAAATTTGAGATTGTCCGATGATGTCAATCCTCCAACAAATCTGTGAATCGACTTGACGCCTTGAAGTGCGATGGCATCCACATTCCGGAGGTAGGTCAATGGCTTCTTCGGGTAAGACACTTCTTCTAAATTGAACTGCAAAGAATCTCATGTTCGAATCTGCTCGTTTCTGTGGTCAAGAACGAAGATGTCGCATGCCCGTTTTCCATACGAATAGTCTTGGCGATCGCTCGATCGAGATCTTCCTCGAGGATTGTAGTGGTGGGGGAGGAAACTTACTGTTCTCTTGTGGAAGACAACAATTTTTTTCCCTTCGAATAGCTTCTGGAAATCCTCTACGTCCATCATGTCGAGCACGGAGTGTGTTTCAGGGATTTTGAACCTGAAATTTCAAAGCAGGCTCCATTCCCATTCGGTGTGCGCAGCGCTCCGATCTGACTCCGATGGGAGGACTTCTGGTTCGAAAATCTATCTGAATTCCCCCTGACCCCTTGAGAGCCGCTCGGTCAGCCTGGCGAAGCATGGAGACCTCCCCGATGAGCGCTCCCATCTGGTCGTCCGTCCCTTCACCCGGGAGGGCATCTCTCGCGAGCTGCAGGTCTTCTCTTCGCTTTCTTTTCACGAGCTCAGCTCATACAAGATTTGAATTCCTACTCAGAATCTCTCCTCGACAAAGTCAACGTGATCTCGAGATCTCGTGATCCATCAGCTGACAAGAGCCTTATGTAAGGCTGCCGAGTAACCCCGCTTTTCCCGAAGGGATGATCATCACGAGAAAGTCACCGACTTCGATGTCGCTGTCACATGAGAATTACGCGGATTGTCGCTCGGGGATCTCTTGGAAGCTTGAGAGGACAGCACAGGCCCATCAATGTCAAATCTCTCCCACCGCACACAGTGTATGATTCGAAGATCGGTCCAGTCGAAACCGTCGATTCTGCGAGTTCTCCCGGTCATTGAAGATGAGACGGACCGATCGGTAAAGGATCGATCTCCAAAAATCAAGCAAGAACTGGTTTCATTGGTGGGAAAACTCTGATTCTCTACTCACTCTTCCGCTGGCCATAGCAGGACAGGACTGTGGCCGTAGGAAACGGCGACCACCGATGCGACGAGGAGCAGAATCTTCATCTTAGACTCGTACTAGATCCGCACGAATTCCGCGTAGCCGAAGAGGATCCGCTTCCGGTTCCGATTTTCTCTGTGCACTCACGTATTCTCCGCTTTCGCCAACTACGGGCTGTGTAGGCTCCAGGTCTCGTGACAGGCTGCCCAGTTTAGTGCTGCGGCGGCAGCTGCTACTTCCCTCTCCCGTTGCAGAACGCAGACGAGCCGTTCGAGGGCGCTCGCTACCCAGCAACGATGCCGCTGAGGCGGGAACGATAATACCCGGGAAAGCTCGATCTTCAGGTGATGAACCCCTCGAATTCTCGAACTTTCCAGAGCGAGTCCGCGGAATTGCTCTTTCCATCGATTCGTAATCGAGACATTCCCTCGGTGCGTCAGTGAGGCGGATCCAGTTCCCGTTTGTTGACATTGTGTTAATCGCTGCTACTTCCCTCGCTTCTTGTAAACACACGTGGTGTGGAGTGTGCAGCGGCCTATAGTGTTTTTAATCTGATGCTCGCCTAGTAAGTCGAGATCGCTGCGAAAAACTGTCTAGAACGGCCATCGCGTGAGGTCTGAATTTCTCTTCACAGGTGAGCAAGAGTACGAGCGATTTTCGGAGGAATATTCGAAGAGTGCGAAATCCCTCCGTCGACACTTCAGTGGGTGAAATACGAGGTTGATGCGTACAATTCTCCGCAGATTCCTCCGATATGCCGCCGGACGAAGAGCGCATTATCCAGTTCCACGAGATGGGACTGGACGAGCGCATTGTGAAAGCTATCGCTCGACTTGGGTGGAAGCAGCCGACGCCGATACAGGAACAGGCTATACCTTTCGCACTGAAAGGTGAGAGCCATGCGCCGAATTCAGAAAACATTGGAGGCATCCTCGACGATAGGCGGGCCGTGGAGACTCTCACTGACAGTGCGAATTGAATTCCAGGCAAAGACATACTCGCCAGAGCTCGGACAGGCTCCGGGAAAACGGCGGGATTTGCAGTGCCGGCGATACAAAAAGTGAGTCTCCATCTCGTTGGATTATTGCTTACCGTACACCCTAGTCTGAGTGGTCCTTCTGAGTAAAATGAGTAGTCCCCGACATATCCATTCGGAAACCGTGAAAATAGTCCGCATGCGTGCGGACTCCGTTATGGCATCGTTGCCCTGTCCTTAATGATCATCTAACGATTATCCAGGTGTTGGAAGCGAAAGCACAAGGTTCCAGCCAGAATGTCACAGTCTTGGTCCTGGCTCCAAGCAAAGAGCTCTGCAAACAAATTTGCCGGTAGGAAATTCGTCGATCATCCGAACCCTGAACGACTGGATTTATATGTCTCAGAAAATACTCCTCCGCGTTTTGGCAATCTACTCGTATTAGAATTCTCCGCTAAACGTGGTTTGCACCTCCTAGGCACTTCGTTGCGCTCGGTCAGTGTTGTGGCGGGCTGGTACAGGTTGTCGACGTCGCTGAGCATGTTCAATTGTCGGTCCTTCGACCGCAACTCCTCGAGAAACCTGACGTCGTTGTCGGTACCCCCTCTCGGATCCTGGCTCATATCAAGGCCGGTAAGGTGCATCCGAGCAATGTCCCGAATCGGCCTACCTTCGATCATCTCCGCCCCGTGACGGAGCGATCCCGTTTTGTTCTCTCCGTTATGAACGAATGTTCTCTTCTCAGGGAATCTGGATGTGAGCTCCTTGAAAATTCTGATGGTTGACGAAGCAGATCTTGTTTTCACATTCGGACAAGAGAAGGACACCGAGCAGTTGCTGAAACAGCTTCCACCGATATACCAAGCAATCGTCTCCTCTGCGACCCTCAATGAGGACGTCCTATCCTTGAAGAGGTAGGTTGAGCCCGAACTTCAATTCCTCAACTCCGTAGGCTTCCCATACTAACCTCGATGTATGAATGATACAAAGGGAGACGACAGTCATTATCAGTCATATCCTATTGCAGGCTTGTCCTCCATAATCCAATCACGCTCCGTCTAGATGAGAACTCGCTGACCGACAATGAAGGATTGACTCAATATGTGGTGAAATGCGAGGAGCTCGACAAGCATGCTATCCTGGCTGCTCTGTTCCAGCTGAAATTGATCAAGGGTCCGTACTAGGGCGGGATTCAAGGCATTCGAATACTTCTTTCGACCGTGCGGTCCGGAACGACGAATGTCGAGCGAGTGCCGACAGAATAATTTTCCTGTAACGAAGATGATCCAACGATCACAGAGCTGCGAAAAGGATTCCTCTAGAAAAAAATGCTTCTTTCTTGCAGGAAAAACTCTCATCTTTCTGAATTCGGTCGACCGGGGATATCGCACAAAGCTATTCTTGGACCAGTTCGCGGTGCGGAGTTGCGTGCTGAATAGCGAACTGCCTCTTTCCTCACGACAGGTACCCTTATCGATGGATTTTCGAGGATAATTTGCCTTCCTAAACTGAACTCCGACCCGAGCCACGAAGGGCTTCCAGGTGCCAGAGTTAAGGAACAAAGTTGTTCCCTCGCTCCTATCTGAGTGTGCTCCTTCAATTTCAGGTGGTGATCGATAGATTCAACGAGGGACGTTACGATGTGATCGTTGTTACGGACGACAGTAACCTGGAAGCCTCACAGAAATCAAAGAAGAAGAAAGGTACCTCGGGCGGCACGAGTCCACTTATTTTCCAGCCGTCGGTTGTATAGCGAAAAACCAAAAGATTCAATGCAACGATTCTGGCAGGTCCCGAGAGCGCAAGGGAGGTCTCATGATATCGATTTTTCTCAGGGTCCAAACAGAGGCAAAACGAGGGGGAATTCGCGGCGAGTCGTGGTCTCGATTTCCAATTCGTCTCCAATGTAATCAACCTCGAATTTCCCCCGAGCGTGGAAGCTTATGTTCATAGGGTTGGACGGACCGCTCGAGCTGGCAACAAAGGGACGGCGTTGAACTTCGTATCAGTTCGAGAAATGCCCATTTACAAGGTTGGGAGTGAATTATCAAGAGGATGGGGACATATCGGCATCTGACTTCGGGAAAGATCCTGTGTTCCCCAATTGACGCGTTTCAGGAAGTTGAAGCTCGGATGATTGCCGAGAAGAAGAACATGTTCAAACCGTATCGATTCAAAATCGATGAGATCGAGGGATTCAAATATAGAGCTCAAACGGCACTGAATTCCCTTCAGAAGAAAGTAATCAGGGATGCACGGCTCAGAGACATCAAAGAGGTAAAATACCAATCGCGACTCTGCGTTCCGACTTTCGTGCTCAAATTTCCCGTCCCTTGACGAATATCCATCTCCTCCATGTTCTAGGAAATGCTGAATAGTGAGAAATTGAAAACCTTCTTCGAAAGTAACCCCAGAGAGACCTCGCTGCTCCGCCATGACCGTGCTTTGCGTACCAAGGGTGCCAAGCACACAAGTTTGAAACATGTGCCCGAATATATTGTGCCACCCACTCTGCAACGGATCATGCAGGTAGGCCCTCGATGAGTCCCTCCTCACCTAAATCGAGGAGCACTAATGCCCTGTTTGTCTCTAAGCGAACATAATTCACTCCATCGATCAAATATTACGAGGCTTTATAATATATCGAATGTTTCCAGGCTAAAAATGCGAGAATTACCTCTTCAGATCACCAACCGGAAAAGGAGCTGTGTGGAGGAAACGGAGCAGCCTGAAGCTGAACCTCGACCTGTGAAGCGGTCAAGATCCAAGGGAAAAACGAAGCGGAAAGATCCATTGAAAAGCTTCACGTTTCGTTCCAAATAAATTGTTGGTTTTTCATGGAAATGAGACGAAGGACATATTTCTTCCACGCAGATATCATTATTGATCACCGTGTCTGACAAGTGTTCGACGTTGAGCCCAGATTATGTCAACATCGTCGAAACCTTTCCGGTAGCCAGAAGTGTCGTCTCGGTGGAGATGCCAATTCTGCGGGTTGGAATTTGGAATCATAATATTTCTCATCTATGGCAGCGGTTCCCAGACTTTTTTTCTCTTGGAGTCAGGCGCGTGCTTAGCATTCCCTGTCGGGGGAGAAGATGTCGGGGTCTTCCCGGGGTCTGTCCTCCCCCCTGACCATATATGGATGCTGATCATGAAAGCTGATCGCAATTCATAAACTCATATCATTATCGTATGACATATGATCCGACATCTCCGACATCCTGCGGGACGAATCTCGGGACCCTCCTCGCATACTGGGATCGCATCCGGTCGGGAACCGCTAGTCTACGGCGACTCGCTGCATGCCCAGTCGCTCTCGAATTCTCCACCCAATCCTGCCATCAGCGAACTGATCCCAAGTGAGCACGGAAAAGGGGAGTTAATGAACTGCTTCTAAGCTCAATCTGTGTGCTCGAGCTCCCGATTCCGAGGACACCCTTCGAGCACTCAACTCCTTACGTCCTGTGGTTTCCGCAAGGTTTAGTGGTCTCGCCTCGCGATGATCGTGCTTCGCACAGCAAAGCGACAGACAATTATAGCGCCTTCTCTATGACAGAAGCCGTATGGATGCAATCAGTTCTGATGAGTTGGAGATAGGCTAGATCTCTCAGCTCGTCAATCATGCGGATGGAATTCATCATCCATACTAGCGCTGATCCTTTCCTGGACGCGGGCCGATCGGAATGGCGCGCCCCCTGGATTTATGTAACCCGTCGAGCAGAAGAACTCCGGTCGGGAGCCATATTACACTCCTGCTGCTCCCGTTGGTTGTCCTGTGAGCACTTAACGAATCAAAACTCAGTGTGACCCATTCGCTCATAGATCCGGGTCTATACTCGCAGTGTGTCGGACGATGACAAGTACTGAGTCTAGATCCCATAAACGCAAATACAGGTAGGTGATTTGTCTCTGAAAGGCTGAGCGTAAGTCCCCCCTACCGGATCCCTGGGAGCAGCGTAGAATTCGGTCTCGGGTCGAGAGTGCTGATTCACCGAACGCTCTGGTATCGATAACCCACCCGCGCGGGAGGCGGTGTGGGTTCGATCCCTGCTGCCGGAAAAATATGCAGGTACTCGGCCTTGATCCTCCTGGGTACATTTGCTCTATGGATCCGTCCTCGGAAGCAATGTGAATAACAGTACCCGGGACGTTAAACCTTGGCTGTGTGGATCAGCCCGAAAAAGTTTTTTTTTTGGTATCGATAACCCTCCGGAAGTCTGACTCGTCCCGCTCTTGACCGATTTTGCACCAGAGTTAGCGAAATGACGAAGATGTGAGTCCTCCAGTCCTCGAGACCGTAGCTCGGATGTAGCGAGATCCTGTATGCAGAACTGAAGAGGCTCTCCCCTCTCCGACTCCCCGCCATGGGCATGGCATCGTGATTATTGACGCACCTAGCGTCCTCCGGGACGAATTCCATTCCGCTTGTCCGTCATGTCGGAGACGATTCACTGCCTGATTCCTCCGGGCTTCCCCAACGACGGGGGGGGGGGCTCGCCGAGCCGAACATTCTAGGCAAGTACGTACATCGATTATTATACGTTGATTGCCGGGAAAAGGAACGTATTGTCGATTGACGTCATCTTATTTTTCGAAAATGACGCTCACAATTGGCCCCGGAGGGTATATGTGCAGAATCTGAACGACGATCTACCCGCCGCGACGTCATCATTCTGCCGCTTCCATTGCGAGTTCGAGAGGACAACCGAGGGAAGTTCGATTGACTTATTGGAAGAGAGCGAGCGCGAGTTCGAGAGGACAACCGAGGAAATTTCGATTGACTTATGGGAAGAGAGCGAGCGCCGACATACCGGGCATTAGGGGAGGTCTGGCGGATCGACGTGAATTCAACGTCTTGTCGCTCGTGCCCTCTCGGAGCCAGATTCCTTGCTCATTCCACGCACCTCCGAGGGAATAGTACTTCAGCGCGGCTCCCCGACATGACAGCGGAGGGGTATTGCGGATTTCGTCGGAAACGGTTCCGCTCTCGCATTGTGATTAGTCCCCTCTTCCGTAACATTGAGGGCCCTTAGAGCAGCGTAACACGAGTTATGCAAGGATATTCCGTTTCAACCTACAGCTCTTGCAGTAATTGCTCTCTCGGCTCATGGGTCTTACGTAAAGAAATTGAGCGACGATGAGCGCGGCTACTTTGCTCCATCCGCCTCCCCTCCTCCGGTGAAAAGTTTTCGATGATTCAAAAAAGAGAGTGAGGGGGGACTACTCCCAACCGTCAATCCGAACCGATACGGTCGCCAAAAGTGTTACTGAGAATGGTACTCCCTCATAATAATGCAATTATGAAACGCTGGAGTTCTTCCGAGATGACTAAAGCAAGGCGACTTACTATTTCGGCCGCAGCGAGCATGAAACTGCCCCCGGAGGATCGGATTGATGATGATGGCTAGGCTGATGTAGCCATTGGGTCAATGGATCCGGAACAACACGGGATTATCAAACTAGATCGGTGAATGCACCCAGAAATATACGGGTGGATCGGGCGGCGTGCACACCCCCTGCAGCCGGGAGACGCTCATTCTGCTCCTCCATTGATCCTTCTCCCGCCAACCCTGTATGACCCTCGCGATCGGAACAGAGCTTCACTTCTCCTCGATAACTTCCTTCAAGAAGCCGATGACTCCACAGATTCAGTATTCTGGACTCTAGACGAACAAGCATGAGTTGGTCGAAGCATGACTGCAGTCTCGACGCAAAACTCAATTACCGAATATGTAGGTGGTTCCAAGCTCGAGCACTGGGCTCGCTGGCGCCATGAGAATAGCCTTCCTTACGCAGCGGGTCTGCCTAGGGTTTGAGGAACCGATATATTCGCGTGACAGAAGAAGCTAAGAGATCCTGGGGCTGCGCAATGGCGAGGCATGGCATGACATGATTCGGCGAGGGCTCTGAGCTTCTCTCAGAATACCATCGAGGGGGAGAACCTCATCACTAAATCTATTCTCTTTGAATTTCTAGCATGGATGACAGTGACCTGGATGAGCGCGATGATTCGAAAAGGTAACGGCACGAATTGAAACCTGTTTGCAAGGATAAGCTCGCCCAGTCCATCGACAACGATTGTCACTCCCGATGTGGCGGGAGACGAGTCGCGTTTTTCACGATGACTCCTCGGATATAATCAGTGACTCGTCCCGTAGGAAAAATCGGAATTCTAGCGAAAAGAAACGCAGGGACGTCTTCAACAATCTCATAAATGAGCTCAGTTCCATGGTGACTAGGTCCTCAAGGAAGATGGACAAAGGCTCTGTCTTGCAGGCTACAATAGCCTACTTGAAAAATTATAAGGGTGAGCACGTGGACTCTTTTCCGATCACATTCATATCTCTGTTCCGTCTGACTGCGATTCATGATGCTCCAGAGTGCTCGACAGTCGGTATGCAGAGTTGAAATGTTTCCGTTCCGTGTAGCAGCTTCTCTCAAATTGATGTTCTGAGAATTTTCAGATACGCCTCCCAACGATGTAGCCGAGCAATCTCTGGATAGGAGTTGGTTCCCGGACTCGCTCACGCAGTCGGAATTCAATCGCATCATGCTAGAAGTTAGATAATATCTCAAAACTTATTTACTCATATATTCCAAATCATTTAGACTTGGATATGTGTGCCGCTTCGACCGCAGTTTCTTGACGAAAAACAAGGACTGGCCCATATACAGGAAGGGGGGTTTCTTGTGATGCTCAAGTATAGGGCGCGCCACCATTTTGGACCTCTGTTCCCTCCAAAGAGCTTGACCCTTTGTTTCGGCAAGAGCTACGGCAGCTGTCGCTGTGTCTCTCTGAGATGATCCAATCAGGTGCGAAATTCTCCATACACAGGGTCAGGACGCCTTCACTATTTGCATTTCCTTCAAAGGACACATCCTCTACGTATCCGATGCGATAGCTTCCATATTGGGCTACGTTCCACAGTATTTGAGATCCGCAATTTTCAACATCGTTCACGAAGACGACCACGCTAAAGCACACAGTCTGTTGAAGACCGCTTCAAGTTCTGACCTTGTCGCCCCGAAAGATCTCAGCTTGTTATTCACAACGGTAATGAGTGATCGAGGGATAAACATGAGTCGGTGAAACATGTTACAGTTTCGAAAGGGCAGAGACGCAATGATAGGGTCCTTTTCACCAGACTCTGCATCTACGTTGGGGACCTCTGAGGGACACTCCCACTGGTAGAACGGAGGTTTACGAACCCTTCAAATTTGTTGGATACTTCAAAAATTATGCAAGAGGTGAGTGTTCCGGTCTCTAAATGATCCGTCCCACGTCCTTCGGGCTTTCCAACGGACGCTTATTTTCAACCTGAGAGGTTGAATGCTTGCTTGTAGAGCCCATTCGGTGATGCAAGCTCATGGCTATCGGGCTCTACGAGCTGTCTGGGGAAAACCTCTTCCAGGAAGGCTCGGCTCGATGTCCAGTAAAGAGCCGTGGCACCCATGCTACGTGGCGATCGCGCTCCCATTGCGTATTCAACAGATATCCAGAGAACTGATGATTCCTGATGGCACAACGCTGGAGTTCATGTCTCGCTATAGTTTGGAATGGAAATTCCTTTTATTAGACAACAGGTGAGATAAACTCCTCGATGCTATTCGAGTTATGATTTCCCCGTTGCGCAACCCATTCATTCGGCAAGGCAAGCGGAATCTGGAGATAAAACGCAGTTCTCGCGGCTCAGCACCCGAAACCGAGCGAAAAAGCTCTTCCATCCCCGGGTCCTGATGCTCTCGGCTTCAGGGTCAGCGGCAAGTTTATCGGGGCTTCGAATTCATCCGGCTGCTGAAGTCCTTCCGAGGACAGACCTATGAAGTAACAGGCATATCGTCCTAATTCTCAATTTCTTCCCAGAGCTGCCGATATAATCGGATACCTCCCCTTCGAAATAATCGGAACATCCGGATATGATTACTACCATATCGATGATCTGCCGAAAATAGTTCAAGGTCATCGTACACGTGAGTGATATCGGCCACGGTTTCCTCGAGCTTCGATTCCTCCTCTTATTCATCATGTCAATTTTTCCGTCTCTCTCGACAAACTTCGCTGTCCCAGAATAGTTCTAGAAGGAGTCCCATCCTTGCAGTGCTTCAAACAGGCGAAGGTACATCATGCCATTATCGTTTCCGTACAAAGGGTTCACAGTGGGTGTGGCTACAGACCCGCTACTACATATCGTACCAGCAATGGAATTCGAAACCGGAATACATCGTCTGCACACACCGCGTCCTGAGGTACGTGCGAGAACGAGGAGCCCTGGTGAGCAATCGTCCCCTGTCGTGTTGATCAGGAACAGCGCGTGGGATGGCGCCAAGTGCCGATCAGATTTAGGGTTCAAAGCGCGTTCGGACGCTGAATTCCGGATCGCCCTCCTCCAAGCTCCTAACCAGCAAGCTCCTTGAGAACTGTCCTAATTTCTCCCCTTGCATAACAGTTACAGCGAGAGGGATGCAGCTCTAAAAGCCAGCCGGTCGAGTTCGTCGTTCGGTTCGGCATCTGCTAGCGGTAACAGGGACTTGACGCCCTCATCAATCGATGGTGAACTCGATCCTTGGCAGTCGTTCTCATCATCGACATTATCTACGCCCTACGGCTCAACGAGTTCTTGCAGTTCCAGAGACAGCATACTATCAAATTCTGAGAGTTCTTACACAGGTTTGTCGGATCTTGATCTCTAGTCGCGCTAGGAGAGGCATGCCGTGCTCAACTTGGGTTCTCATCCGACAGCTTCCTCTCTTTGCAAATCACCACGAACTTTGAGCGAGAGCTCACTCAACGAAGAGAATCCTATGCTGTCAAACACCGAATCTTGGCTCCTATCAGCGATAGGAGAGCCATCGTTCCCGAAATTCAACCATTCAGATCCATCGGAATCCACCGGGGATCCCATGAAGCCAGCGATCACAGGAGAGTCCTCAGGTCGGAACGATCTTCCCTCCACTTCCAAACGATGATCCATGACTGCTGAACCTGTGAAGGCTCATACGGAGGAAGAACCATGCTCATGGGAGACGGATTCTTTGATTCAATCTCAAACTCAAACGTCTCAGCGTTCGCCGAGAAGAATCTACATGGAAAGTACACAGCAGAGGAACACGAACGAGCTCGATTTACTCCGTACCATGACAGCGTCTTCTTCGAAGAATTCCACAAAACTGGCAATACTTATCAACCTGTAAAATAAAGTTATTCTTGACACTGACTCGATGGGGGTAGAATGAGGTTCGTCCTCTTGAGCTCCTCTTTGAAAATTCGTTCCGGTCCTTGCTGACGGGAGTGAAGGAACGCTCTTAGGTACCACAGACGCATTGGCCAGCCCTGAACTCTTCGAACTCTAATCGCCGAGGCTCCTGGCTCTCAACGAATCGACCTGTGCTTCGACTGCGGGGCGTTTCGTCCGCTGAGACTCCAAGATCCGCTGTCCGGATTGATCCTTCTCTTCGATCTATTGGAGCTCGAACGAGGGAAGCACCATGACAGAAGTTCAATCAACCACCGATGAGATCCCTCCCTCAGGACCTAACGAGCTCAAATGACAGCACGGATAGAATGTCTGATATGTGTGGGTATATGTACGTTACGATAATGAGGCACTGCTCCTATTCGAATGCCAGATAAGCGAACTCGACTGGCTTTGGAACCCCGGCGTCGGTACCCTTTGCGACGCGGTATCTAACATTGCGGATCGAGGCTGCTGCCGTCGGAAAAGTGGATGAAAACAATCTGGTTTCTCTTGTGAAGCCGTCGATTTCAGCTAGAGCGCTGGAAGAGGGAAAATTCAGCTTGTGAAAACTGAGGGAGCCTCATAAGCACATTTCACAAGAGATTCCGGTTTCTGGACGCTTGTTTACTGGGGAATTCCACAATACAGGCTTTCCGCGACTTTCACGAGTAATCTGTCATGCGTCGCAGGGCAGATTCTCAGCTCGTCACTCCTCCACACGTGCCAGCTCCGGAGTTCTAGTAGTATTCTCGATCCAACCCCGTCATGCCCGGTTGCAGATCCTGTCTTATCGAGTTATTCTCCCGTGGTCTGTGGGGGAGACGTTTCACGGACCGGAAGATCGAGCCGTAAATCATCCGAAATTGTTTTATGATTAACTTTGCTTCATGATTGCGAGAGAAGACACGTATTGCTTGAAACTGACAGATGTTCTTTATTGTTGTAACCTTCAACACAAAGGGAGGAGGGAGCTCCCGCAAATCTCCAAGGTTTCATTGCCAATAAATGCTTATTCCAAGTCAAGGAGCAAATGGAACTTCTCGAAAAGCTAGCCAGCGGTCCTTCCTTTTCCCGACCGACTCGAGCTTCCGAAAGGCTGGAATACTCAATGACATTGAGATCTGGTGAGATCGAGATACGTTGGAGGTTTTGATGAGCATTTGAAAGTCGAGCTCGACTATCCAGACTTAGAGGCGAAACCCACGAAGTCGACGAACTTGTGCCGGCGAAAACAAGCAAACAGGCCACAATTAGCCGCACACAGAAGTTTCGCGAAAAAGTTGCAAGAAGATCCTTCGTCAGAAGGGGAAAGCCCGGCTCGACATTTCCGAGTTCGGAGGAATGCAATACAAAACAGAAAAGTTTGGAGCAAGTTTCCATGTGATTCCTACAACACAGGTAATCCGTATCGGAAGTTTGGGTCAAAGTTCGGTCGAGTACCGAGACTTATGTGAGATCTTCCAAGTCAATCATAACTTAATTTTGTGCATAATCGGATTAACAAAAGTCACTGGACAAGATAACAGACAAAACACACCAGCATTGTAGGACTCGTGTGGTCGCTCGAGCACTGTCTGAATTCCACATACATTCGAGTAGATTTTTCTCGATCGTTTTCGATTCAAGTGTTCGATGCCGACAGTGGCATACCTCACTTGAACAATCGGAGAAATCGATAATTAGTTGTTGTTCTTGTCGTTTGATCTATCAATTGTCATAATATATATGGGCTAGGTCAAAAATCTGTTCGTGCTTGCATCCTGCGTCTACGGTCTTGGTTTTTCCATTCCAGTCACTCTTCTCGCAACCATAGGCTCCTGAGAGTATGGGTGCTAGTTCCTTCTAACTCCATCGGACACACTCAAATACTTCGGTTTCCTCAATAAGAATCATCCATCCATGCATCACTCAATTATTGAAATATAAATAGCAACTCCGAAACATTCTTGGATGATCGTTCTCGGACTCCTCTGGATACACTGCACTCATTCTCATTCCGGGAAGTCACTGAATCATTTGGGTCTCACAGAAGACTTACAATGAGGATGGCTGCCTTCGATGGACTGATACTCGCTGTTTGGTTGATCAAAAGTAACTTCCTGCGACGAGGGTCGCTGCGAGTTCTTCTTAAAGTGTAGCTGCTATTCGGAGATCAGTTCATCGAGCAGCGACCCTCCGTATGCGCGGAGACATATTTACTCGTTTGAAGTCAACAAAAAATACAGCTCGATTAGCTGCATCGTTCTGTACACCTTACGCTGTGTACAGATGGCCCCGTTCAGAGCTGGCCGAGGTTGTCGATGCGAAGCATCTCGGATACTAAGGCGTCGTCCAACTCATCGGCACCGACGACTGAAATGTATACGTGTCTAGCTTTCCAAAGAAACTTTCATCCACAAACGAGGACAAGCGCTCTGGACGCGCTCTGAAAAAAATTCAGAACTTCTGACTCGATGTGAGTTTAAAACATACTACAGGAACGATGAGAATTGAATTACACTCTGAAATTTGAATAAGCACCTACAAAAATTGGAAAGTTTCTATATATATATGTATATATATGTATAACGCGTCACAGGGTAACAACTCATAAGTTAAATCGCTCCGCACATTTTTTTATCGACTGGGAGCAGTCGAATATGAAACGTGGTCACTCGCCTAGATTTTGTTCCTTCTTGTGCCGATGATCCTCAGCGATTATGTTAGTCAATCCATCTAACACGGAAACGGAGACGACCATGTGGTCACACGGTACAGTGCGTGACAGGATATTGACAGAGTCACATCATGTCGAGATTTGGGAATAGAATAGGGCGCGATCGGGGCCAATGAGGGGCATGAGCTGGATTGTCTTACCGGATGTTTTCTTCATACAAGGAGACGCTCGCTTATCCCAGGAGTCGCCTGCCTTTCACCAGAGATAGACGAAAGATCGTCCCGGTGATTTATAGGATGAGACTTCGCTCGCGTATTGCTCTGATCCCGCTGAATTTCTACGGAGCACTCTTATCACACGATCCCAGCTTTGATGGCAGAACAAATTACAAAATTCGAGTTCACGGAGAGGCGGAAACACCTTCGAGGAATCCAGACCTGCGGTCAGACTCCTCAATGGTATCGAAGCCTCCCAGTTGGCTACTCCTTCAACATTTCAATCACGTGGCGTCAGTTTTAGTGAGATCGGGTTTTCCGGTGTTGTGATCAACCGCATTTTTATCGGAACTTCGCCCTCGGTGGCAAGCCCTATATCGAATTGTTTCACCGTTCTCGCTAGAAGGAACTGCATCTGGACCTCGGCTATCCGACGTCCGATGCAGGACCGAGATCCTAGACCGAAGGGAAGGCAGGCCCAGGAGTCAACTTTCGATTCTGAGCGGTTTTCTCGCAGCCACCTCTCGGGTTTGAATGAATTTGGCTCGGGGAAGCTCTTGGGATCGCGACCCGTAGTATACAGCGACATCAGGATCAATTTCTGAAAGGTTTTCCCAATTACTTTGACGGAACGACTGAGAGTGGCCCGCTCATCTGATTCGACGGACGAGTTTTCCGCAGGGGGGAACCGAACCGTCTCGAAATTTCCCCCACACCGACAATGGAGCCCGCCGGAAGTCCGTCGATGACGTGGGAGACAAAATTCTATATCTCTCTTCTTCCAGACGAGATATTTCGGTAGACCCCATTGCGACGACAGCGAAGATCACGAAATACTACTCACCCCGGCAGGTACACGGTAACCGTTCAGCGAAATTTCTTGATCGAGTATCCTAGTCAGGAACGGTGCCACAGGGTAAAGTCGGAGAGCTTCTTTGATGACGGCTTTCACGTACGGCATATTGGGCAGGCAGTCTTCCGTGATGTGCTGGTTTGCCCCCACGGCTTCATTGACCTCGTTCAGGATTTTCTGTTGGGATTCAGGGTGTCTCGACAATAGATAGAAGGCCCACTGGGTCGCGTGAGATGTCTGCAAAGCATAAGGGAATCAGTACTGGGCATCCCGTGTCGAAACAGCAAACTACCGACATGAAGAAGAGCCCCACCGTCCGAGCCGACCACGAGGGACCTCTCATGTGCTCAGCTATGTGTTACGTGCGTCCTTGAGTTCTTGAGCCTACACTCTCCGACGTCACGTACTTTCCTTTAGCACTGTGGTTTAGCAATCCACCGAAGGTCTAAATATGCCCGAAACAAAAACGCTACCGTGACGTAAGCGAAGATCTATGGCGACACGGAAATGTTATCTCATCGTAATAGAGCGCTCTCATCATTTGACACCTAGCCAAGGAGACACGCCTTGTTTGTCACTGTGTTGTCCGACTGCCTCAACTCCCACCGCTTCTGAGTGACGAGACGCTCCTCTTTGAGATAAGTCCCGATCGTGGACTGCGCCAAATATGCACGTAATCACGTCAACCGCCCGCTCTTTCGAATAAATAATCGATCTTGGCAGAGGGTTCCCCAACAATCCCTGGTCTCAGATCTCGCCGGAGTACGATGAAAACGCCGTGATGCGCCACCCATCATGGCTTAGGAAGTCAGATCCTGTTCACGCTTCGGGAGAATTCAGATCTGGAAAAATGCGTCGAGGACCGACCGCTGCCTTTCGAGTTCTACAGAGATTCTCGAGTTGATCGCACGGGGTGGTATATCACTTGCGGTGTCTGCTCTCAGTGTCCCACTCCAGTGATGGGCGCGGCATGCGTTCAAGGTTGTTGTTGCTGTCTCTATTTTGTATCTATTTATCTATCTGTCTATTCGTCTATTCACTGGCCTCCTAAACTTCGTGTCGCCTCTCGGGTTGTCCGCGACAACTCTACCAGCTACGACGAGATTGCGGTGCTTGTATCACCCATTGCCATATAGCGATGTTGCTCCATTATTAAGCGATTTCGAAAACACGACCGCCTGATTCCGCCCCTCTCTCGCTTCGGCGCGGTATCGTCGAGGGGATGGTGATCCCTCGGATTCCAAAAATAGGTCCAAAAGTCGCTATGAATTCATACTCACGGTGTCAGCGGCAGCGAGGAACAAGTCGATGACGATCCGGACCAGCTCCTCACGGTCGATGTTCGAGTGCTGCAGGAGTTGCGCTATCAACGACGCCGACTTCGTCTCTTCCGGCGTCGGGGCAGCGCCCTTGCCTCTCGAGCATAGTTGATTGACGTTCTCTTCCACGTATTCCCGACCTGAGGGAGAAAAATAGAATACAGTCAGGATTCAGCGTACCGACAGTATTCGATTCCCATCTGTAGGCTGCTGCTATTCACGCGACCGAGTTCCGGGAAGTTCTTGGCCCGGAATCAGGAAAGCTCTAGAGAGCGCAACAGCTGTGGGTCGAGCTCGTTCATTCTCCGAGCTGCCTGATCCATCAAGTGCTCTCCAGAATTATATTGGTACCGAATATTCCTCGTGCCTCTGTCCAATGAAGACTCGAATCTTCGCCATAAGCATGGGAACTGCCGACTGGTGACGGTTCCCCTCGATAGAACAAACGCGAATACCCATCCAACTCCACTCGCGCTGGAATCATGCAGGAACCAAGAAGGAGAAGCGCATGCCCGACCGCAGGATACCAATCCTCCCCGCCAGCGGGGCAGCCTGCGAAGGGCTTGTCGGCTCTGGGGAAAGTCTCAGTGACTCGACAAGTGAGAGCGAGAAAGTAAGTAGCGTCAAATTAGCCACGGCTCAAGATTTCAGGTTCCAGCGGACCACCTATCGTTGATGGCATGAAGGCGTTCTTATCGGAGCTGTCGGTACCCAAGCAGAAGCCGCCGCCGCTTCTGCCGCACGGCCACCGCGTCTGACGGCGACGACGAAAACGCTGGCGACAACAAACGTCGGATACTACGAGTAATCTTACGATGCGTTCGTTCCTGCGTCTGTTTATTAAGTCGTATCTCTCTCACCCTGTATCTCCATTCTTGTTTCTCCAGTGCTGTGGAGCTTTAATGCTTCCCATCTTCGTTTAATAGCTTCGCTAAAAAAGAAAGCAGGGATGATGCTTTCTGACGGGGAAAATGCCCCGGCTGGGCAAGAGTTTTCTCCGCATCGCTTTATCTGGCCGCTCTTGAATTATGCAACAGAAACTTATTATCATCGCTCGCGAGCGCTGGATATCTCGGGGGCGTTTCCGCCAAAGTATCCCAAGATCTGTTCGGGGAAGTTTTTCGGTGCCTGGGACGCGTCTCCCGCAGGCGACTGCAAGCATGAGCCCTGGAAGTAGAATACGGACACTCGAATCGATCCGTTGCGACACCGACGGGGGAGACGGTGAATCGTTCCGAAATTCGGTCGAATCGCGGAGAGTGCCGTCACCGAAGTCACGTCTCGCTCATGAGCGACGGGAGCTTCTCGGGCTTCCTCTCCTGCTCGCCGTATCCTCCGCCGCGCTCCCCCTCCCCCCATCCCCCCTCTCCCCGGAGCTCAACGTGAAGTGGTCGGAGCTTTCCCAGACAATTCCGGGAGGATTTATCCCCGACTGAACTCCGAGAGGTCTCGCCGTTCTGGAGCGAAGAGTAGAGCTTGTGCAGCAACAGCTGCTAAAGTTTCTGCCGGTATCTTGATGAGCAATCGCGGCGGCGGCCGCCGCCGCCTCCGTATCGTAATCTTTGCTCCAACTTTTCACGCAGGAAGAAAAAAGAGGGTCTGTAGTTCGTTTCCTTCGAATCGTTCCTTCGTTTCTTTCTGTAAATTCTGGGGCCATTCTTTGTTCGCTCTTTTTTTATGCCAAAGGAGTCTGTCTGAGTGAGGTAAGTTGCTTGTGGCTTGCTTGTCTGCCTGCATCTCTGCCAGCCTGCATCCCTGCCTGTTTGTTCACTCGTTCGGTTTCTCGCTGGTTTGTTGGTCGGATGGATGGTTGGTTGACTGGCTTGTTGGCTTGTCGCCTAGCCGACTGGTTGCTTGCTCGGTTGTTGTTGTTGACTGGTTTGCTGGTGGGATTGTAATTTGCTTGCTCGCTCGCCTGGTGGGATCATTGCTTGTTATGGGCGAGTCTGTCTGTCTGTCAGTCTGTCTGTCTGTCTCCCTCCCTGTCGGTGTGTCCGCCTGATCGCTTGTCACACCATGCGAGCTGTCGTCAATACTCGGAAATCCGCCAAGAGAAAAAAGTCAATGGGTTAGCAGATAAACAGGTAGCGTGATCGAGGGGAAAAACAAGCAAGCGACCAAATAAACAAACAAGCAAGCAAAGAAACGCGCAGCCCACCATCGAGCTGACCAATCAAGTCGCAAGGCGGCTAGCTATTCGTTGAGTGAGCGAGCGGACCCGATGAAATAAGAACGCCAGCTCGTTTGTGAAACGGTTGCATATATAACGAGCGACTTCTGCTGTCGGACTGGGGGCTCTCGAGCAGAGAAGAGCCCAGTTCCTGCCCACGATCCGACGTAAGCTAAACTCACTTGAACGCTTCGTAGATCGCTACGGCGCATCTTCAGCGAAACACTTTCGCTTTTTCTGGTCGCGTTGATACGCTTTCGCCGCGGAGCGCGAACCGCTGGCAATCGATCATGTAATGGGAATAATACTATTCCTCGCTCGGTCCGGACTCCTTATATAATGATTCTCCAAGGACGGAAGTTACGGTAGCACGATTCGATAATCTTGCTAGCGCCGAATCGTCTCCGGAAGACAGAATTGTCCGGGGAAAACAACAGCGCAGCAGCCACGGCGCAGCGAGTCAGCCGCTGGGCAGCATAGCTCCATCGAAGTGCACCTCACTCAGAGTTCTTCCTCCGCAGCTAGGATGTTACAGCTAGCTCTGCTAAGTGTCCAGTGGTCTCTCAAGGCCGCCCGGTCTAGGCGGGGCTCCGATGCGGCCGGCCAGCTAGCTAGCTAGCTCGATGGACATGGCATATGGCATAGGTTCGTCTTCTCGGTCCGACCGAAACGAACGAAGAAAAACATAGCAGAACAAAGAGGGCTCCCGTCATGGCTGGTGAGTTGTTTGATTGGCGACGGTGAGCACTCGTCGTCGTCGTCGTCGTCTGTCTAATCTACCGGAGTCCACCAAGGAACGTCAGAGGGACTCTAGTGACCGCGAATTTTCGCCGGCATCGGATGGAGCGATTTCGGAACGTCGTCGGAGGCAACGGAGTGGGATCGTTGTTCAATCGCCGACGCGTACCTCTAATTCACATACGACAACAACATTCGGACAAACAACGAGAAAGCGTTGTTGTTCGGCTCTACATCATCGACTCTCGATTTTCCACCGACAGAATTGCACAAGACAGACGGGTTTGAGGGAAGCATTGACATACGACGTCAGAACATAACTCACCGAGATCCAGTGCTCGTCCCGCGGCCTTCTCGAAGCGTCTCCACATAGGTAGACGAAGCGCACTTGCCAATTTCGGGGACACCATGGCCATTTTAGCGGATTCGGAGAAGATTTGTTGTACGCAATGGACGAACTCATGAATATCGGCGCTGTCGTTAGTGGTTGATACGCAGCCGAGACGCCTTCCGAAAATCATTGCCCCGAGAGCTGAAAGGACGCTTCTTAATACTGAATTCCTTTGATTTATGAGAAACGATATAATATTCACGTGCAGGATTCGGTCAGCTAGAAACACATCGATGGAGCCGAATCCACGGGAGATTCTCCCGGTCTCTGAGCCCGGCCGATCGCAGAACTCACATTCGATGGACCAGTTGTACAGATGTCTCTCAAGATCGTCGAGGCATCCGTTGTTCAAAGACGATGTGTGACGCCAATTTGCCAATAGGTCGGAAATCACTTCGTTGAACACTGGCACATGATCAGAAACCGTTTTCGGCCGAAGGAACACGTTGTTGAGAGCTCTTCGGCGGTCTTGCCATTCTTTGCCGTCCCTGCGCAGAGGAATTTAAATGATTCAAATGCATCATTTTTTCCCCCACATGGAAAATGCCCGCTCCGGAGCTCCTCGGGGAACGATCCTCAACCCGCAGCAGGTAATCTATCAAACCGAAGAGCCGAACCGAGCGACGATCGAAATTCATTCAAATCGTCGAAAGCACCGCCGATTTACTGTTGTTGCCGTCGCTGTTGAAGCAAGAGCCATTAACAAACGGAGCGATCAGATATTCTTCTGCAAAGCAACATCCCTGACAACGGCGATCACCATCGGTTCTAGATGTATTGATAATGTGTTGGTGGTAATCTTCTAGGAAGTGGCGGCATCGGCGGCAAAGCAGCCGTTCGTGCCGCGGCCGCCCCAGGTTCCGTTGCCCATCCGAAAATACAGACGCTTTACACACACGTCTCTATCGCGGCCGCAGCAGATGCTCCACAAATTGATGAGTTTTATCACGGCGAAGAAGCGCAAAACAACATTTCAGGGAGAAGAGCCAAAGAAACATGAATTTCTATCAAAACAATTCTGAGCCGAGGAACGACAATTTCACGACTGATCAAGCTTGAATTCGTGCCCGGATCGCGTTTAGAGTGAATTGCCCATCCACCGGTAAGGAGGGCTCTCGAATTCTGTATCGGACCGCGGTCGCACCCAAGGCATCGCCAAGATACTGGAATGAAGATCGCTCCGACTCTCATATGAACGCAGAAACACTTACTCACATGAAAAAAAGTCCCCGCTTGATATCGTTTTTCTGATTGTAGATCGTCCACGCTTCGGGCACCATGTGTTGAGGATACTTGCCCTCGTGTGCATACACTTTCTGGATCAACGCGGAATCGGCGACAAAAACGGCTTGGACTGCTCCTAAATTTTCTCTGTAGACGGGACCTAGCTGCTTATGTCTGCTATCACAGTACTCGTGGATTCTCGGCGCGCCGCCAAACTTCATAACGGCCAGAGATGTCCCGAGCACCGGAAGTGCCCGAGGGGATGGCATTTCCTCGAAAGACCGCTCGGATTCGAACTCAGTTGCTGGACGTTGGGCGGGACATGGGGCGGATCTTTTTTTCGTAGCCCAGAGAGCGTGGAAAGGGCAGCCACTCGAGCTCTGTTGTTCGAGCTCATGATCAACGCCGGGCAATGTGACAGTAGCTGAACTTCGGACGACTCCTAGCTGTCCAATCACGCTTCGACAGAAACCTGTTGCACTCCTGGACAGCATTTTCCTGTTGCTATGCTTCGTATGGCTGACGTTCGAACTATTACTCGGCGACGACGAGTGCACTCGAGCGTACTCAGTGAAACCCTTTTCGGTTGAACTTTGCGCGCGCGCCGATCAGAGACAGCGCATCAAATTGACAGTGATTAGAGAGCTCGACAAATTAATTGGGAATCTATCTGTGCATTGGAGGCTGTCGAAATTGACGAAGTTTTCAGCTCTTGAGCGGTGCTTTCGGTCGCTAGACCGGGAAGATAGACGCGGCAGACGCGAGTTGATTAATTAGAGGGTGGCTAAGGTCAGAGGACGTGACAGTCGGATGGATGAGAGCTCGAGAGCCGCAAGGTTCTGATACAGAGAGGCATGAAGACGAGTATTCGACTTTGCGAATTATAAAAAGTTTGGAGGACAAAATTAATCTTGCGTGAGAATATCGGCGACAGCTCGAGGAGTGAAGCTGTCTGAGCCGTCGAGTCCGTCGTCTCCGTCAATTTGCGCACAGTCCGATCGGGAGGAGTGTTTGCACACACTCATTGAGCAACACTAATCGAAGCCGATTCGAAATCACCGAACGAGCAGAAGCAAAAAAGGAGAACGGAATTCTCTCAGGAAAATTGAAGACGGTTCCGAGTCACGAACGCCTTTCTCGAAAAACCCTCAGCGGACTGAGTACCGCGTGACAGTAACTCTAGCAAACAACTGGAGACACTCAGGCCCGTCCCTCGGTTAAATGAGCCGGGCGCCTACTGTCGCTAGAGAAGGAGGGAGAGGAGTGGCGAAGGAGCACCGGTCTCCTCTCCAGCACCGACATCACGAACCAGCACCGGCACCAGCGACCAATGGTACCGGCAGCTCTCCTCTAACACTCCAGCAAAACGGACATCCGAGTGGGGAGCAGTGCTGCACCAACTCATGAGCGTTTCAATGAAAAGGAAACATTTCTGCGCACTCCCCATTATCTCCCTGAGGTTAAATCGGAGCATCGGTCATTCGAGGTGACTGGCAACCTGTGTCAGCTAGGAAATCTAGCCTGGAGCCTGCTCCACATGAGCGAACGCACAAAGAACGCCTCCGAAACGAGAGATTGAGTCATCATTCCCCACGACTCGGATCGAAGAGGCACGCACGGGGCTCGAATGGTCGGACGCTCGCGTCGACCGCGAAGCCGAGCCCACCCACGGGGGCCGTCCTGAGTAGGTTGTGACGAGACATCTGGTTTTCTGCTACCATAAGCTTATGCAGGCTTTTTTTCTGAAGTTCTATCAGCAACCGAGGCGTTCCAGGGTTGGTCCTCCCTGTCGCCAACGATGAAATTCAGAGGATGCCGCTTCGAGTCGGATACGAGCCTGCGAGACTGGATCTTCTCGCATGAAAGACGGATCTGCACAAAGGCTCACGAGACTCCCGGGAGATTGAATCCGTGACGAGCGACGGTCCCTCAAGTTCTGACTCTCTAACCTCATCTTCAGAAGACTGAACAGACATCCTCCACTCTCGGTGCACGCGACACTGGCTCGCGTGACCACAAGAGTTTCCTGAAAAGTTGACGTCTCTCTGATCGTCTCGATAATAGAAGTTCTAGATCAATCGTAGGCGCACATACTGATTATTCCTGAAGATTGGTTACCTGGCTCTGAGAGCAATCTCGAACGGGTTCCACTTCCTCATAGCCCAACTCCGTGCTCCCCCTCATCCGAAGAATTAAATTTCTAATGTAGATATAACTCATCGGAATGATCGGTCCCCTCAAGAAAACTTGTCCCCTCAAGAAGAATCGTCGCGCCAATGTCATGCACTGCCTCGGATCCCCGATGCATATTCTACTCCTCTCACCAGACGCCAACATCTTCCATTCCGTCTGGAGAATCGTCTCCCTTGATATCGAGATCTCGGAGGTTTATAGTTGCCCAGGCGAAAATTTCCCACCTCTCGAAAAAACGAGTCTTCGTCGGCTCCACGGAGCCCCGTTGAGGAATGAGGAAACTACGCTCGGTCTCGAAGAGTGGATCGACTCTGGAGGTGCTCTCTAGCCCCGGCTCAGAGACCCACCGTGTAATAGATCACCTGCGCTGACAGAGACCCTCACTCTTCGATAGATCTCCTTAGGGAGGGCATCCACGTCTTGAGTCGAATCCGAGAGAGCGGGGACCCCGATTTTCCCGAGGCTGCCATTCGTGGCCCTTGGGATCGAAGAACGTGAAGACCTGCGATCCCGACCGCGAAGAGCATGCTGGAGAAGAGGAATAACTTCGCTTCATCCTCCTTGTCGGAGAAGTGTGTCATCGAGGCCCCCGTTCCAACTAACTCCGGATACGACGGTGGAGGATTTCGTCCCGTGTTTCGCTCGAGATCGGGACGTAGCCGCAGAAAGCTTGTATCGGACATGCCCGGAGGCGAGGGGGGAAGAAAGGATTCCTTGAGCTCTTCCAGCCCGTGACTTAACTCCCTAAGTAGACCCTTACGTCGTTCCCCCGGGAATCGGCGTTTACGTCGTATCTCGACGCCTAATGCGAAGAGGAGAGATTCCAGTCGCCGGGTGCGACGGAGACCTCTAAGGCGGCCGACGACCGTTTCGCCGACGCTCAATTACCGCAAACGAGCGCAAGGCTCGCCGTTCCGACCGTGGAGTTTCGTGTTGTGAGCCAAAGTGAGATCGCGGACTTTCCAAATCTTTCGAGGCTCGGAGTCAGAGCTGGTGAGCCAGAACCGATAGGATTTTCACGCGATGCTCACACGAGAACGAATACTCTCCACCAAATGACTCTCATGGAACGGATTTCCTCAAATTGTCGGATTACTGTCCTTCATTCCTTCCATTGCATAATGCGTCTCTCCATTTCTCACCGTCAAACCGGCGTGAGGGCACCATCTCCCCGAAGTAGGACACCGGAGGCCGCTCCCAATGAGTCTCTTCGAGTCGCGTGAATTGGAAGAGGGGTCTCCGTGAGAGTTCTTCGGGATTTTTTGCGGGGAATCATTCGATAGATTTCCTGACATTTACCGTTAGGGTGTGCGTTAGAAAAGTTAACCTCCGTAGCTGACTAGATTTGCAAGAGCCAGTCCTGCTCCCTATGCTTGCACTAGGCCCCTAGATACGCCCTGCAGATAAATGTCTTCCCGGCGCCCAGAGGAGGAACAACGAAGCTCCTTTGGGACTTTCCGCCCGACTAGCCCGCTCTGAAGGGGACATGTCATCTTTTTGTGGGCTCTGAACTCGGATCTTGGGATAGCAGCTCAACGAGAACCTAGGAGCCGAATGATGAGAAGTTTCATCCGAGATGCCACGGGAACCCACCGCTGGAATCCTAGTGAGTCCGATTTCAATTCTTCCATCTGTGGAAGTCTCGACGGTCCCCCCGCGGTCTCGATCCGGACTCACGATTCTGGTACCGCCGATCATAATTCCATTCAGGCGCGGTGAGGTTAAGCCTTGAAGCCCGGAACTCGATCACGCGATTCACCTGCCGGATGCTTGAGTCCAGAGGGAAGTTCGCTAGTCCCCGTCTTTCAGTCCTCCGACAATATTCAGCATGAGTGATCAATTCTTAGGCTCTAATCTGAGAACATGATACCTAATCAGCTCGACGAAATCGGCGGAAGATGCTCCAGAACCGGGTTCGATATAATCAAGTCGGGTTGATCGAGTCGACGAAAATCGCCTGTCGGGGCATGTCGAGGGACTTTTCCTTACTCGATTTTCCTTGCTCTTCGAGCCGGACAGGAGGATGTCAATCGGCATGTCCCGCAACCATCTTCGGTGTCTGGTTCCGAACTCTTTATATATGGCCCGACTCTATGTATACATTCTTATTCGGAGAGCTAACGGATCCCCCCATTCGAATCTCAAGAGGAGACGCGCTCCCGCAAGCTAGGCTGTGGACACTTATCGCTCTACGAGAAGCCCGATTTCTGGAGTCTCTAAGTGGCCACTTTCGCGAAGTTCATCGGCGTCTCTCGGAAGGCGCACGCGAAGGTGAGGCGAAATTCTTTCAGAGTGAGACGGGGGAAAATTGCGTCCCGGATATTCTTCGTCACGTCCAGGGAGAACGTGAGATATTCCTTTATCAGAGCTTAGTCAATGTCGGCCAGTCAGCAGTGAAATGAGACGCTCGTTTTCCGACCTCCTACGATTAGCACTCCATACTTGTAGGTTGTATGACGGTTCGAATTCTCTCCCTTCAGTTCGCGACTGACGCTCACCACGAGAGACCTGACGCGCTTAAGTTGCATCGATGAACACGGTCCGATGAGCGAAGTCGCATTGCGAACCGTCGTCGGCTGATCGCGTTTTTCAGAACTTTCGCAGTGATCGGACCCAAGCCTGGAGCCGCGCTTCGAATTGCCGAAAACCGCGTCTCCTTATCTTCGGATGACGAGACGTCATTGATCTTGCGGAGCAGAGCGAACAGGATCCTGCATACGACGTCACTTGCCCTCACCCTTATTGTAATTGCCCAGATCATTGATGCTCCCGCAGCTCTCATGCATTGGGTGATCCTCGCAGAGCCTTCCAAAGATTTCTTCCGGCGTGTGGAAGTCTCCGCGATCGACTCGGTGAGCTCGGCATAATGTACTCTACGAAGCCGAAAGTGAGAGCTGCCGATTCCGGAATAGATGTTCATTACATAGCACCTTAACGGGACTCCAAGGTTCCGTGAAAAACGTTGCGTCATAATCGGGTTCCCACGGCCCACAACGAGGTTTTACTGTATTCAGCTCTTCTGATCGAAAATTCTCGGAACCTCGACTATGCTCTCCCATCGGAAATGTAAAAGTCGACGCAACGGAAGCTGTACGCAGCGAGCGGTCGGAGCGGCCATCAAAGGTGAAAGCGCTCTAGGGTTTCGACTCCGAAAGCTTCACTCTTCTACCTCTGAAGCGTTCTGCCGACAGCGTTTGCTCCCGTCATGAAAGCAGAATTCGAAGAGGGTAAGATGATCGCGTAATCGTCATCGCGGATTGCCTGAGATATTCGAGCAAAGTATTGTAGATAAGACCACTCC